ATGCTTGTACATAGAATATATAAAATTGTACATATTGTATATAATGCTTGTTTGAACTTGTACATAATGTGTATAAAGTTTTTACATAGCATCTATAATATTTATATAAACTTATATATAGTGTGTATAATGCTTGTATATAGCATGTAAAAACTTATACATAGTTTTAATAATACTTATATATAGTGTGTATAATGCTTATATATAGCATATATAAACCTATACATAGTGTGTATTATTATTATTTATAGTGTGTAAAATACTTATACATATCGTGTATAAACTTGTACATAGTGTGTATAATACTTATATATTTCATATAAAACTTACCTATAGTGTGTATAAAATATATACACAGTGTTTATAATGATTATACATAGCGTGTATAAACTTATACATAATATGTATAATGCTTATATATAGCGTGTATAAAATTATACATAGTATGTATATTATTTATAGATAGCGAGTATAAACTTCTATATTGTATGCATAATGCTTGTATAAACTTATACGTAATGTGTATAATACTTTTATATATCGTGTATAATACTTATATATAGCATGTACAATGTTTATGTATAGCTTGTATAAACTTGTATATAGAGTATATAAACTTATTCAGAGTATATAATAGTTATGAATAAAGTGTATAATGCTTGTACATAGCTTGTATAAATATGTACATAGCATGTATAATACTTGTATATAGTATTGAACGTAGTATATAATGCTTGTATAAACTTATATATAACATTTATAATTCACGTATACAGTATGTGCAATGCTCTTATATAGCATGTACATAGTGTGTATAATACTTGTACATAATGTGTATAAATTTATACATAATGTGTATAATGTTTATACATAGCATGTATAAACTTATACATAACATGTATAATTTTTATAAAAACATGAACATAGTGTATATAATTCTTGTACATTACATGCATAATGCTTGTACATAGCATGTACAAATTTATACATAGTGTGTAAAAAATATATATATAGCATTTATAAACTTATATATAGTATGTATAAGCCTTATACATGGCATGTATAAACTTGCTTATAGTGTGTAAAAATTATGTATATAGAGTGTATAAAAGTATACATGGTGCGTATAATACTTATACGTAGCGTGTATAAACTTATACATAATGTGCATAAACTTGTTCATAATTTGTATAATTCTTACACATAGCGTGTATATACTTGTACATAGTCTTTATAATGCTTGTACATAGCATGTGTATAATGTTTGAATAAACTTGTACATTGTGTGTATAATGCTTGTAAATAGTATTTATAATGCTTCTACACAGTATGTATAATGCTTGTATAAACTTATACGTAGTATGCATAATACTATTATATAGTATGTATAATTCTTGTATATAGCATGTACAATGATTATATATAACTTGAATAAACTTGTACATAGTGTATATAAAGTTATTCAGAGTGTATAATACTTATGAATAGTGTATATAATGCTTGTACATAGCGTGTATAAATATATACATAATGTGTATAACGCTTATATATAGTATTGAACGTAGTATAGAATGCTTGTATAAAATTGTATGTATGCAATGATTGTATATAGCGTGTACATAGTGTGTAAAATATTTTTACATAATATATATAAATTTATACATAATATATATAATGCTTATACAAAGCTGGTATAAACTTGTAACTAACATGTACAATATTGTATAAACATGCAAATAGTGTGTATAGTACTTATATATAGCATTTATAATACTTATACATAGCGTGTATAAACTTGCACATAGTGTGTAAAAACTATATATATAGCGTTTATATAGTATGTATAAGCCTTATACATAGCATGCATAAACTTGCAGATAGTATGTAAAAATTATGTATATAGCATGTATAAACTTATATATGGTGTGTATAATCCATATACATAGCATGTATAAACTTGTACATAATGTGTATAAACTTATTCATAGTGTGTATAATCTTATACATAACATGTATAAACTTGTACATTGTCTTTATAAGTCTTGTAAATATAGTGTGTATAATGTTTGAACAGACTTGTACATAATTTTTATAATGTTTGTAAATATTGTGTATAATGCTTGTACATAGAATGTATAAACTTGTATATAGTATGTATAATGTTTATATAAACTTATACATAGTATTTATAATGCTTGTACGTAGTATCTATAATACTTGTACAAATTTGTATATAGTATGTATAATATTTGTACATAGCATATACAAACTTGTACATAGTTTTTATTATGCTTATATATAGTGTTTACAAATATATAAATACTGTGTATAATGCTTGTACATAGTAGGTATAAACTTGTGTATAGTGTGTATAAACTTGTATATTGCATGTATAAACTTATAAATAACGTGTATAATATTTGTACATAGCATGTACAAACTTGTACATAATGTATAAAATGTTTGTACATACCATGTATAAACTTACATAATTCATGTATAACGCTTGTACATAACATGTATAAACTTATATATAGTGTGTATAGTACTTACAAAACTTGTACATAGTATTTATAATGCTTATACATAGTGTGTATAAATTTATACATAATATGTATAATGCTTGTACATAGCATGCATGTATAAACTTATTGATAGTATATAAATTATTTATAGATAATGTCTATAAACTTTTATATAGTATGTATAATGCTTGTATAAACATATATATAGTGTATATAAACTTTTACATAGCGTGTATAATACTTGTATATAGTATATATAATGCTTGTATATAGCTTTTTCAAACTTATGTATAGTGTATAATACATATGAATTGTGTGTATAATATTTATATATATTGTGTGTAAATATGTACATAATGTGTATAATACTTGTATATAGAATTGAACATAGTGTAGAATGCATGTAAAAAGTTATATATAATGTGTATAATTCATGTATATAATATGTATAATGCTCTTATATAGCGTGCACATAGTATGTATAATACTTGTACATAACGTGTATAAACTTATACATAATGTGTATAATACTTATACATAGCATGTATAAACTTGTACATAATATGTACAATATTTGTATAAACTTGTACATAGTGTGTATAATATTTATACATAGTATGAACAATCTTGTACATAGTGTTTATAATGCTTGTCCATAGGTATTTGTATAATATTTGAATAAACTTGTATATAGTGTGTAGAATGATGTAAATAGTGTATATAATATTTGTACATAGAATGTATACACTTATATAAAGTGTGTATAATTCTTGTATAAACTTATGCATAATGTGTATAATGCTTGTACACAGCATCAATAATGCTCGTATAAACTTGTACATAGTGTGTATAATGCTTGTACATAGCATGCACAAACTTATACATAGTTTTTATAATTCTTATATTTATTGTTTCCAAATATATAGCATGTATAAACTTGTATATAATGTTTATAAACTTATACATTGTGTGTATAAACTTGTATATATTTTTTATAATACTCGTACATAGTATGTACAAACTTGTACATAGTGTATAAAATGGTTGTACATAGCTTGTATAAACTTGTATAATTCATGTATTATGCTTGTACATAGCATGTATAAAATTATACATAGTGTGTATAATACTTATACATTTCATGTACATAGTGTGTATAATGCTTATATATAGTGTGTAGAAACTAATACATAATGTGTATAATTCTTATTTATAGTTTGTAAAATGCTTGTACATATCATATATAAACTTGTGCATTGTGTGTATAATACATATATATTGCATGTAAAATTTATACATAGTGTGTATGAAACTTGTACATATTGTTTATAATGCTTATACATAGTGTGTACAAACTATACATAAAATATACAATACTTATACATAGCGTGTATAAACTTGTACATAGTGTGTATATTATTTATAGATAACATGTATAAACTTCTAGATAGTATGCATAATTCTTGTATAAACTTATATATAGTGTATATAATACTTTTATATAGCGTGTATAATGCTTGTATATAACATCTATAGTGCATATATATAACTTGTATAAACTTATACATAGTGCATATAAAATTATTCAGAATGTTTAATACTTATGAATAGTGTTTATAATGCTTGTACAAAGGGTGTATACATATATACAAAGTATGTATAATACTTATATCTAGAATTGAACGTAGTGAAGAATGCTTGTATAAACTTATATATAATATGTATAATTTATATATACAATGTGTGCGATCATCGTACATAGCGTGTACATAGTTTGAATAATGCTTAGACATAACATGTATAAACTTATACATAATGTGTATATTGCTTATACATAGCATGTATAAATTTATATATAACATGTATAATATTTGTATAAACTTGTATATAGTGTGCATAATAGTTGTATAAAGCATGTATAATGCTTGCACATAGCGTGTATAAACTTACACTACAGGAAAACCTGTTATTACCGACGGACTTAATCCGCCGGAAACAATGTACAATCCGACGGAACCGGTAGTTTCCGGAGCATGTTCCGGCGCAAATATCTCCGCCGGTTTATGGTGCGTCGATAATTTTTTTCCGACGTATAAGTTGCGCCGGAAACAGTTCCGGCGCAGTTTCCGACGCATTACCGGCGCATTAAACGGTTTGTTTGCCGACGTGAAGAATATGAGAAATCCGGAGCCTAATGCGTCGGTATTTACCGTCGTATAATGTGACGGTAATTAACAGAGGATAAGTCGCCGGAGTTGCGCCATCGAAATTCCACGGTTATTTTACGACGCAATTGTTGCGCCGGTAATTACCGGCGGAATATCCGCCGGACTTGCGACCGTAGTGGCCGACGGATCATATTCGCCGGTACATACGATACATTTCGTTGTATCGTCTTTTCGACGGAATGCCGGCGCATAATCCGCCGGAAACCTGTAGCATTGACAAAAAAAAAAATTGCCTTCCCAGCTAACAATCCCATTTCCACACCTGCAAACCTATCAATTCTAACACATACAAGTTCCACAACAGGTTACTTCACAATAATTTATAACAGTTTCACAACAGTTTAGCACTAAAAATCAACTGATAACATCATATTAAAAGTAATTGTCCAATAACATAAGTTCACATAAAAATACAAGTTCATTTCAACTAAATTACACTACTCTGACTCCGTCGACTCCTCCTCAGGTGGAGCTACGTCTTTTCCACTCAGTTGCTCCCTCATCTTGCGCATTTCATCCAGCAACTGATTGTGTTGCTCCGTACTTGTTTGCACCTGTGCTTGCAGCTGAGCTTGAACCTGTGCTTGCAGCTGAGCTTGCCAATCAACTTGTGATTTCCTTACTTGTTCTAGCTCAGCTTGAAGGGCAATTATTTGTTGAGCTTGTAAGGACTCATGCGAACTGGATGCGAAGCTGGATGCAGTAGAGGAGGTCATCCCCTCGTATGCCTGAGCTTGCGCACCTAAGCCATATACTCTACCATGCTGCATTCCTCCGACGGCCTGCGACCACATGCGATACTCAGAATACTCCACAGAGCCGCCAGAAGAGCCCTCACCTGATGCGGCATGAGTCTCTCGAATCCGTGTATATTCCTCCTGTGAAAATCGAATATAAGTATATATATAATTAAACTAAAACTTATAAAATATCAAATATTTATAAAAATATACTTACATGGGCCTTCCTTGCTCTCTCATCAATCCATTGTTGATCCTCCTGTCGCTTATGAGTGCGACTATGCAATTCCACAGGAGTTGGTTCTCTACCAAGTGACGCTTTCTGTTACAATTAAGAGAGTTTTATCAATACTAATTATTAAAAAACAATTTTAAAAAATAATTAAAATTCATTACCAAACGACGCCTGTGCTCAGTATGTGGAACGGAGCCTCCTGTATGAAGTGCACTACCTAAGCCCCCAACATCAGAAGCTCTGTTCTGTCGATTTTGATCCCTCCTCCTAGTGTACTCTTCGCTGCCCCAAGCTGCATTCAACTCAGCCCATATCTCCTCTCCAATCCACAATGGTCGTTTCCCAACCTTTCTAACATCTGTGAACATGTCGCGCATCCGAGTAGAGCCACGCTTCTCAAAATTCTTTCTAATCTTGTCATTGTGTTGGGGCAGCCAACAAAACTCTTTCTGCAATAAAAAACAATCAATTTACCTTAAGTAAGAAAGAATAAATCATTTAACATAAAAACAAAAACACAGAAATACCTCAAACTCTCTAAACCACATCTCCCGGACTTCTTTTGGGACTTTCTTCCAAGAAACATAAGGAGCGTCAAACCTGCTCCGTATGATGTCCCGTATTTTATGTGTTGGTTGTTTTGATGGATAGAACCTACAAAAATAAAGTTATGTAAAACAAATATAAAATATAAAATAAAACAATTAGTTAGTTTAAATAAAAGTTACTATACGTACGTGTCACCCTCAGGTGCTATCAACATTCTACCATCTGTCTGCTGCTCTGCTGCAGCTGCTGTCGAAGGTCCAGCTGCTGTCGAAGGTCCAGTTGTAGCAGGCTGATGGGGTGGTGGGGGATAGTATGGTGGAGCATATGGTGGAAATGGATAAGTAGGAGGGGCACCAGCATAAGGTGGGGGTGTGAAGTATGGGTAGAAAGGAGTAGCCTGCCCGAGATCTGGTGAAGGAAATCGAAGGTCCGGTGAGTAGAACTGCGGGCTACTGGCTCCAGGAGTGGGTAAAGGCTGTGTAGCAGGCTGAGGCTGTGTAGCAGGCTGAGGCTGTGTAGCAGGCTGAGGCTGTGTAGCAGGCTGAGGCTGTGTAGCAGGCTGAGGCTGTGTAGCAGGCTGAGACTGTGTAGCAGGCTGAGCCGAGGTGGTCTCCTCAGTACGTAGTGACCTATGTGGTCCAATTGTAGTCTTCTTAGTGCGCCTGTTAAAAATATTTTTTATCAACCCTCTATTAGGCTGCTCCTCACCTGAAGCCATCTGCACATAAATAAAAAAGAAATATTAGAAATATGAGTTATAACAGAAATGGAAATTAACGCAGTGCAGTAGCTAAAAAAAATGGACTGAAGTAAAATACAGGTAAGTAAAAAAAAAAAACAGAGTGTAGTAGCTATAAAAAACAGTGAAGTAAAATACAGGGAAGTAAAATAATTTACCTTATGTTGTTAACTCATCATTTGTTGATTCACTTTCATCAGATGATACACTCCTAGCACAATCAGATTCATCATCACTTTCCTCTATGTTTAGATCTACCTCCTCTAACTGCAACTCGCTCTCATTAAATCTGATTTGGTCATCTACATTGATTGGGAGATCTTTTAAATTAGACATAAACTCTTCTTGGTGTGCTGTTGGTATCGTACTGGTTTTCTCAATTACTCCCCTTGGTTTAGTCTTCATAACTACCAGCCAATCCTGTTTGCCTCGTATTCCGCTTGGATAGTTAGCATAATAGACTTGAGTTGCCTGACTAGCAATGATGAAAGGATCAAACTTTGCATATCTCCTAGCCCGCTTTACTTCTGTTATACCGTAAATTGGATGAACTTTCGTGCCTCTATTTGGTACTGGATCAAACCATTCACAATTGAAGAGATACACAATATTCCTCATACCGGGATATTCAACCTCTAATATTTCTTGTAATACCCCGTAGTATTCAGAATCATCGCCTGTATGGGTGTTCCCTCTTACACATACGCCTGAATTTTCTGTCTTCCTACCTTCACACAAATTTTTTGTTTGAAATTTATAACCATTTACCTCAAATATTTGATAGCATTTTACTAATCTATTTGGTCCCCAAGCTAACTCAGATAACCTTGAAAACTGGGAACTGTCTTCAGCGTGTACCTTTAAATGTGACATTGTGTCATTGTTACTAATATTAATTGCAGAAATAATTAACTCATTAAGTAAGAATAATTATTCAAAATATACCGTATTTTTGAACCAAGCAGTGAATTCTTTTTCCACTATCTTCTGGACTTCTCCTTCTTCTGATATACTAAGACCATCAATGAACCTCCTACAAATTCATATCTTGAGTTTAGAAGAAAGTATAAAAGAGAACTAAAAATATAACAAAATGAAATCATACTTACTCGAGATACGGCTCAACTTCATCACAATTAAGCAAGATGTACAATGTGATAACTGTCATCTCTTTATCAGTCAAATAGCGCACGGTGCTAGCGCCTAAAGGTTCCCCAATTCCACTAAATACAGATATATTAGAGGATTTACCAACATTCTGAGATGTTGAACTTTCACCTGATTGAGATATTGTTTCAAAATAATACGAGCAAAACTGAGTAGTCTCGTATGTTAAATATGCTTCACAGATAGAGCCTTCGGGTCGTGCTTTGTTCTTAGCGGTCTTCTTAAGTTTATTTAAATATCTCTCAAAAGGATACATCCACCTATATTGAACAGGTCCACCAACCATAGCCTCATATGGTAAATGAATAGGTAGATGCTCCATAGAGTCAAAAAAGCCTGGAGGAAATATTTTCTCAAGTTGACACAAAATGAATGGAATTTGCTGCTCCATATGAATCAAATTCTCCACATTTAATTTAGAAGAGCATAAATCTTTGAAGAAGACACTTAACTCGACCAAGGGCTTCAAAATCTGATCTGGCAGATAACTGAAAGCAGTGGATAGTAGACATTGCATGAAGATGTGACAATCATGACTTTTCAATCCAAATAATCTCCCTGATCTTATGTCAACACACCGGCTTAGATTGGAAGAATATCCATCAGGTACTCGTAGAGTCTTCACCCATTCACAAACTGCTCGTTTTTGCTCTAAAGTTAATGTGAATGGAGCTTTTGGTTTGAGGAATTTTCCCGCTCCACCATCCTTCAATTCCAAAGCTTTCCTTCTACAAATCTCCTTTAAGTCCATCCTTGCTTTTATATTATCTTTTGATTTCTCTTTGATGTCCATAACTGTATAGAAAATATTATCAAAAACATTTTTCTCTATATGCATAACATCCAAGTTATGTCTAATCAAGTTTGTTCTCCAATATGGCAACGACCAAAAAATACTTTTCTTGGTCCAATTATGGTAGACACCATATTCCGGCAATCTGAACTCAGCTAATCTTGGAGATTCCATTATGGTGGGCAAGAACTCTACTCTTTCAAAAATTTCTTCACTACTGAATCTTGGTGGAGGAGGAATCATCACCATTTTATTTTTAGTAAAAGCTTCTTTATTTCGCCTGAAAGGATGACTTTGAGGCAAAAACATTCGATGACAATCGAACCAACTGTTCTTCCTACCATACTTTAAAGTGAATGATTTTGTATTTTCCAAACAATATGGACAAGCTAACTTGCCTGAAGTGTTCCAACCTGAGAGCATACCATATGCAGGAAAGTCACCAATTGTCCAAAGTAATGCTGCTCTTAGTGTAAAATTCTGTTTGGTGGAGATATCATATGTACTTACTCCTTCTTCCCATAATAAACTTAAATCATCAATCAGAGGTTGTAAGAATACGTCAATCTTTAATTTTGGATTATGTGGCCCTGGAATTATAAGTGACAAAAACATATAAGGAGTAGTCATACATAACTCTGGAGGAAGATTGTAAGGAGTGAGTATCACAGGCCAACATGAGTACGGTGTAGCCGACTGACTGAATGGAGTAAAACCATCTGCGCATAAACCTAATCTGACATTTCTTAGTTCTGCCGCGAATGTGGGATGTGTACGATCAAAGTGCTTCCAAGCCTCTGCTTCTGATGGATGTGTAATAACACCTTCTTGTGGAATGTGATCATTATGCCATCTCATATGTGCAGCAGATCTCATGGATGCATATAGCCGTTGTAGTCTCGGAATTATTGGAAAGTAGAACATCCTACTAACAGGCACATCCTTTTGCTTCCTTCTATTTCTAGATTTGGGTTTAAATCTTGGTGCATTGCAATGACGGCATACAGTTTCTGCAATATCTTCTTTAAAGTATAGCATGCATCCATTGACACAACAATCTATCTTTGTGTATGTCAAACAAAGTTTCGAAACTAACTTCTTTGTCCGATATAGATCTGTAGGAATTAAATTATCTGTCGGATTGGTTTCCTTAAGCAGCCCAATGAATTGATTAAAACATTCACGAGCAACATTATATTCAGCCTTGATGCTTAACATCTTCACAGCAACAGATAATTCTGAGTGAGTCGTGCACCCTTTCCAGATTGGTTGCTGGGCAGCATGCAATAAATCATAAAAATTTTGTGCCTCCGTATTCGGTAACTCTTCATAAATTCCAGTTGCATCATGAACTAATTCCTCAAGATTTGGACGGATGTTTTCAGCCTCAGCAACATTACTACTTGTAGAAGGACCGCATTGATAATCAAATTGTGGCTCATACTCACCATGACAAGTCCAATACCAATACCGTGGCATAAATCCTCTGCGATACAGATCAACAGTTACGTCATCTGGTTCTAGGATCACTAGATTTTTGTGTTTAGAACATGGACATCGAAACTTTCCTTCAGATATAAAGATCGGCAGCTGTTTCGCTTGCTGAATGAAAAAGTTCACCCCATTGATGAATTCATCTGTTAATGTCTTCCGACCTTGAGATAATCAATTATACATCCAACTTCTTTGGTTTCTAATATCCATAACCTATATATAAGAGAAAAAAAGTAATGGATTTATATATATAGATCTAAGATATGGACTTAAGTTTACCTTCAACTCCCTCTCTAGTCTTATCAACAAGAAGAATATCATAAACAAAAAGCATGCACCAAGGTATATCCTATAGCAAATGTCTAGTGATAACATCCATGACTAAAGCAAAAAGATATTTCAAGTTTACCTTCAACTCCCTCTCTAGTCTTATCAACAAGAAGAATATCATTAACCAAAAGCATGCACCAAGGTATATCCTATAGCAAATGTCTAGTGATAACATCCATGACTAAAGCAAAAAGATATTTCAAATTTACCTTCAACTCCCTCTCTAGTCTTATCAACAAGAAGAATATCATCAACAAAAAGCATGCACCAAGGTATATATCCTATAGCAAATTAATGTCTAGTGATAACATCCATGACTAAAGCAAAAAAGATATTTCAAGTTTACCTTCAACTCCCTCTCTAGTCTTATCAACAAGAAGAATATCATCAACAAAAAGCATGCACGAAGGTATATATCCTATAGCAAATTAATGTCTAGTGATAACATCCATGACTAAAGCAAAAAGATATGGAGACTTAAGCTTACCTTCAACTCCCTCTCTAGTCTTATCAACAAGAAGAATATCATCAACAAAAAGCATGCACCAAGGTATATATCCTATAGCAAATTAATGTCTAGTGATAACATCCATGACTAAAGCAAAAAGATATTTCAAGTTTACCTTCAACTCCCTCTCTACTCTTATAAACAAGAAGAATATCATTAACAAAAAGCATGCACCAAGGTATATCCTCTAGCAAATGTCTAGTGATAACATCCATGACTAAAACAAAAAGATAGCAAAAAAAAAAAATGCAATACCTTGGTGCATGCAAAGTTCGATTGAGAGAGAGTGAGATGCTCGGCGGCGGGCGACCAGGAGAGAGGGAGATGCTCGGCAAAGTCCGGTGACCGTCGGCGGCGAAGTTCGATGACCGTCGGCGACGTCAATCTTCGGCCAGCGACGAACGGCGACGGAGGGTGACGGGCGAAGGAGGCGAGGTGAGAGAGAGTAGCGAAAAGAATGACGGCCCAGAGGGCTCCGATTCGCATTTTAGAGCTTTTAGCGGCGGCCTTTCCGGCGGAGGTTCAGCCGGTAATTTTACCAGCGGACAATGCGCCGGCAATTTTTTGTTGAGCTTAAATAAGCCGGTGCATAATCTGCCAGAACGGTTTCGTTGAGTTTAGAAGAACGTTTCCGCCGTAATCTGCTCCGGAAATAATCCAGAGCCCTTTTCACCGGCGGTATTTCCGGCGCAATTGACGCCGGTAAATTTCTGGCGTCCGATCCGCCAGAAATGATGCCGTAAACGTTACGTCGCATCATTCCGCCGGAACCTACGCCGACAATGCCGGCGCAAAAAAATCCGTCGGAAATTCCGACGGTAATCACGTGTTTTCCCGTAGTGTTATACATAGTGTGTAAAAATAATGTATATAGCATTTATAAACTTATATATAACATGTATAAACTTGCACATAGTATGTAAAAATTATGTATATAACATGCATAAACTTATACATGGTATGTATAATCCTTATACATAGCGTGTATAAACTTGTACATAATGTGCATAAATTTATTCATAGTTTGTATAATACTTATACATAGCGTGTATAAACTTGTACATAGTCTGTATAATGCTTGTACATAACGTGTGTATAATGTTTGAACAAACTTTTAAATATTATATATAATGCTTGTAAATAATGTGTATAATGCTTATACATATTATGTATAAACATAGTGTGTATAATGCTTGTATAAACTTGTACATAATGTGCATAATGCTTTTGGATAGCATCTGCAATATTTGTATAAACTTGTACATAGTGTTTATAATGCTTGTATATAGCATGTACAAACTTGTACATAGTTTTTATAATACTTATATATAGTGTTTACATACATATACGTAGTGTGTATAATGCTTGTACATAGCATGTATAAACCTGTATATAATATGTATAAACTTGTACATTGCGTGTATGAACTTATACATAACGTGTATAATACTTTTACATAGCATGTACAAACTTTTACATAGCGTGTAAAAGGCATGTACATAGCATGTATAAACTTGTATAATTCATGTATAATGCTTATACATAGCATGTATAAACTTATACATAGTGTGTATAATACCTATACATACCATGTACATAGTGTGTATAATTTTTATATATAACATGTATAAACTTATAAATAGTGTGTGTAATTCTTATTTATAGTGTGTAAATTGCTTGTACGTATCGTGTACAAACTTATACGTAGTGTGTAAAATACTTGTATATTGCATGTAAAACTT